ATTGTGGGAGGGGGGATGGGCTAAATGGTTAGTAAGGGGCGCTAAGGAATCTACTCCTGAAATCATTGTTGCACTATATGCTAACTAATTTGGATGTAAATTTAAAAAATAATAATAATAATTTTAAAAAATAATACAGTGCTTTCCAAAATAAGCCATAAGCAGTATCTGCATTTGCAAAGTATGTCAGACTTAATTTCACTTTAGGCAACTGACAAAGACTTTCTCCTTGACCATACTTAAGTCTCTTTGAGCCCTCTTTCTGACTAGGCCTCCAACTAAGCCCCCATCCAGTCTCTGGCTTGCTCAAATCCAGTCTTAGCTAAGAATGCTGCTAAGTCATCCCCCTACCCTTGACATCTGATCAAGTTCCTCATACCCCATCTCTGATGAATAAGTCCTTGGCCTTATCCCCCTACCTTTGATGCCTCCTCTTAGTAACTTTCCCTCCAGTGACCACCTCATCCTGCTCCTTGGCCAGAACTCCCTACTTGTCCTTGTTATATTTAGAATTAAGACCAATCTTTGTCTCCTACTGCAATACACCACTACAGAAGTCTTGGGTTGTCTTTCTTACCATTTTAACAAGCATCAGAGTAATTTTTTCTATAACATGAGTCATTCGGGGCGCCGGGGTGGCTCAGTCAGTTAAATGTCTGACTTCAGCCCAGGTCATGATCTCATGGTTTGTGGGTTCAAGCCCTGCATCGGGCTCTGTGCTGACAGCTCAGAGCCTGTAGCCTTCTTCAGATTCTGTGTCTCCCTCTCTCTCTGCCTTCCCCTGCTCATGCTCTGTCTCCCTCTGTCTCTCAAAAATAAATAAACGTTGAAAAAAAATTAAAAAAAAAAACAAAAACAAAACCATGAGTCATTAAAAGAAAGCAGTCACACTCTTAGCATATATTAGCAGAAAAATAATTCACCACATAATCACAAATGAAAGTACGAGTTCAGCAAAATATCCGTAAGACTGACAATTTAAATATAAATCTAAGTTAAAATTTACAATGAGTATAAAAAGATTCCCTAATTTTTTATGCAAAACAATTTTTTTTAAAAGCTTTCCTATCAAAAATAAAAACAAGAGCACTGAAAAGTAGTAGAATCAAGTCCATTGCCTATTCATGCCAGAATTTATCAGAACTTCTGGTAATAATGGAATGAAAATGGGCAGAAAAATAGCTGCTGTGTAATTGGTAGCCAGTCATAAGTTATACAAAGCAACAGATACAAGTAGCACTTAACATCCAGGCCCTCTATTCAGTTAATAAATACTTATTTTTTAAGGACTTGGCACAGAAGGAGAAAAAGCAAAGAATAATATAGATTCTATGATTTAAGAGAGATGACATGTACAAATAAATAGAATGCTATAAATAATTTCAGTAAGAGGTAGAAGTGATAAGTTCATCCAAGAAGGGTACAAAAAAGGTGTTACGAAAGTTCAGAGGAATGAGAGATGATTTCTCACAGAAAGGCAAGAAAAAGTTTCCTGGAAACAAAGGGGCAGGTGATTTAAGTCTTCAAAGATGACTAGGATTTATAGGGAGAAGTAAAGGGAAAGGCACTCCAGTGTTAAGAAGTAGCATAAGCAAAAGCCCAGTGTAGGTACTTTTCTGTACCCACAGAAAAGAATAAAGGTTAACATTTAAGGTCTATGCAGTGGTAACTTCAATGATGTCCCTCAAAAATCCATGGTCACCTGGAACCTCAGGATGTGACCTTATTTAGAAATAGTGTCTGTAGATATAATGAATTCAGCATCCTGAATTTAGTCTGGGCCATAAGTCCAATAACTGGTGTCCTCATAAGAAAAGGAAAGGACACAGAGAGATACAGAGAAGGCCACAGGAAGATGGAGGCAGACACCAAAGTTATGCTGCCATAAGCAAATCCTGGGGTCACCAGAAGCTGGGTGAGGCAAGGGAGGATTTTTCCCCAGGGCCTTCAGAAGGAATATGAACTTGATTTCAGCTTCCAGAACTGTGAGAAAATAAATTTCTGTTATTTCAGTTTACAAATTGTGCTAATTCGTTACAGGAACTTTAGGAAACTAATACCACTAGGTTAAGGGCAATTAGTAGAGGGCTATTGTAAAATAGTATGTAATTGGTCTCTGCCCCTGGTTCCTCCTAATATTTAGTTGTGACCAAACTCTTGTTAACTTCCCGAGAGATAAGGGTTTCTGACACAGTGGCCCTAAATCCCTTGTAATTTCCTGGGTGATATCAGTACTTTGTTCTAATGCCTGAGGTGACTCTTAGTGGGCTTCTGGATAGAGGCTGGTCACCAGGAAGACCAAGCCATAATCAGAAACTTGGAACTTTCAGCCCTACTCCCCATTTGCTGGAGACAGGAAAGGAGCTAGAAACTGAGTAACTGATTATGCCTACATGACGAGGCCTCTATAAAAATCCCAAAGTATGGGCTTTAGCGAGCTTCTGAATTGATGAACATATCCATGTGCCAGAAGGACTGACACATCCCAGCTCCTGGGCTTGGGACCCTTCCAGACTTTGCCTCTGGTTGCTCATCTGTATGTTGTTTTTTTCTTTTTTACACAACCTTTATTATATATTAAGTCAATAAATATAAAATGTTTCCCTGAGGGGCGCCTGGGTGGCTCAGTCAGTTAAGTGTCCGACTTTAGTTCAGGTCATGATCTCACGGTTGGTGGGTTTGAGCCCTTCTTCGGACTTTGTGCTGATAGCTCAGAGCCTAGAGCCTGCTTCTGATTCTGTGTCTCCCTCTGTCTCTGTCCCTCCCCCACTCTCACTCTGTCTCTGTCTCTTGAAAATAAATAAGTGTTAAAAAAAATTTTTTTTTAATGTTTCCCTGAGTTTTTATAAGCTCTTTTACCAAATTATCAAACCCCAAGCATAGGTAACATCTAATTTAGAGCTGTTTGATCAGAAGCACTGGCAACAACCAGGATTTATGATTGGCCTCTTCTGTGGGTAGCAAAAAAAATGGTCTTGTGAGACTGAGTCCTAAACCTGTGGGGTCTGTGCTAACCCCCCCGGGGGAGATAGCGTGTCAGAAGTGAACCAAATTGCAGAACACGCAATTGGTATCTACAGAGCATTGAGGAATAACTTTTTGTGGGGAAAAAAACCTACGTATTTGAAGTATAAAAGCATTCAGTGAGTACAGAAAAAAAAGTTTTCTTTTTCAGCTATGTACTCAATGCTCCAGCATTTTTTAAAAATGTTTATTGTGCGCGCGTGCAAGAGAGAGAAAGAGGGAGAGAGAGAGAGAGAGAGAGAGAGAGAGAGAGAGAGAGAATCCCAAGCAGGCTCTGCACTGTCAGCGCAGAGCCTGATGTGGGGCTCAATCCCACAGACCAAGAGATCATGACCCAAGCTGAAATCAAGAGTCCGTTGCTTAACCGACTGAGCCATGAAGGTGCCCCATAAAGCTCTAGCATTTCATTTTATTACACTCTGGAAGAAAAAAAACACTGACCAGTAAATTTCTCCTTAATAGGCATATTCTCATATTACTAGGCAACTGTATTAAAAGTGGACAGAAAACAATGAAATGCCGTTACTTACAATGTGTGACTCCAGCTAGAGTTTGGTAGAAAGTGGGAGTATCACTATCATCAGTGAGGGTCACATAAACACCTCCAGATAGTAGCCAACGAGAGAAGGTAAAAGCATCTTTGTTTAGAAGAAGCCAATTTCTAAATTTTTCATAGTTTACTTTTTCACCCTAAAATTAAAAGGAAAAAAAAAAACACAGGCTTAGTCAAATTTTAAGGTATCTTACTTAAAACTGTACAATTTGAAATTTGAAATTTGTTAACATTTATCTTGCTAATATCTACAAAGAAAGGATTATCTAACACTACAGGGTGTATATTTGGAAATCAAACTGTTTTAAAAAATAATTGTTATTTTCAGAACTTCCACTTGCATAAAATCTATGCAATTTAGTTGTAAATTACTTCATCAATTCATTAAAGCAGTGCATTGTTACTAATAACTCACATATTATTTTCTAAGGTATATCCTGAAATCAGTAAAGTGTATTTTTTCCTCTTTGTAAAAAAACAGTTTTATTGAGGTATTATTGGTATACAAAGATACTTAATATGTACAATTTGATGAGACTGGACATATGCAAAACCTATGATACTATCACCACATCAAGATGGTAAACATAGCCATCATTTCCCAAAGTTTCCTTGCATCTTTGTTTTTACTTGTTTGTTTGTTTGGTTGGCTGGTTTGTGGTAAGAACATTTAACATGAACTCTACCCTCTAAACAAATTTTAAGGTGCACAATAATGCATTCTTAACTATGGGCATTATGTTATACAACAGATCTCTGTAATTCATTTAGCATGACAGAAACTTTATACCCATTGAACCGCCCCATTTTCCCCACCCTCTAAAAGTGTATTTTTTTCTATATTTAATAAGGCCAATTTTTTACTTGCCTTATCCCTTTTCTTCAGCACCTTAAACTTTAAGAATGAGCATATTTTAATTAAATATGTATGGTATTAAAATGCTCTTTTAAATTTCATTGGCAAATTGAAAACAACTATCCAGGAGCCCTCTTCTAGAAGGCATCACTGAAAACATGTATTCACAAGTCAATTAGAATACAAAAAAAAACAAGTAGATTGCTATTTCTTTGCTTTTTTTGTCAAGTATTTTGTCTTCTACATCTCTGGATTTTAAAAAAAAAAAAAAAAAAAAAAAAGTATCCCGGATGAGAAAGAACATGACATAGCTGTGCAAGTCAATTTCTTAATCTGGAAGACAGGAGGACCGAGGGTGAATGAGGGCCGGATGTTTCTGAGAAAAAGACAGAAGCAACCCACATGGAAATACAATGAAGAATGACATTCAGGAGCCTATCAGGTCTATTCCTGATAGAAATATTAAGGGATACAAATAATTCCTAACCTAAAAGAGATATGATAGAAATCATTTATACACCGTTTGGCAGCATCCTATTAAAATACAGCAATATGCTTAGCTTACTAGTTTCAGAACATTTAACAGTGCAATCAAAACATCTAGACAACATTGACAGTCTTGTTTTTCTGAATGGAAGAATATGGCATTCAGACTTGCTGCAGGGGTATGGGAGGACATTGCCAACATGTTGAGAGATTAGGGATCATACCCTTATTCTCTCTGTTCCCCATGTTTAGTTTAGAAAGAGGATTAGTAGTATAAATCCCATAAGCTCATGTACATTTTTACATATTAACATCTCTGACACTGGGATGAATTTTCAAACCAAGAGTATCCTTCAACTAAAACTGGCAGGTCTTTTCTCTCTTTATAATACATAAAGGTACATCTTATAATAAATGGGACTGTAGATGAAGCAAAACATGTAGCATCAATGGTTTCAGTGAGACTAAGATGTTATAAAATGTACCCTCATGTACAAGAAAGCAAAAAGTTGCTAATTATAATAGGCACTTCTACCACCTTCACATATCATTAATATTGAGTATTTACAATTCTCTAAGCACTGTTCTGAACATTCTTTTTTAAGATTTTGTTTTCAAGTAATCTCTCTACCCAACGTGGGGCTCAAACTCACAATCTCAAGATCAGGAGTTATAAGCTCCAATGACTGAGTCAGCCAAGCACCCCTAAACATTTCATATTAATTTAATCTTCAAAGCAACACTCTACTCTACCATCCCCATTTTACACATGGGAAAACTGAGGTTTCAAAAAGTTAAATAATCTAATATCTAAGATAGAGTGGCAAAAATATGATTAAACCCAGGTAGTCCAAAGTTTCTGAACCTAAGCTATGCACCACACTTCCTGGCTGACTTAGTGAAATATAAAGTAACCACTGAAATCCACCTGTCCATTCGGATCACTGCATAACTGGTAGCACCAAAATGCCATCTGTTAAACCTGACTTTTTATGTTTTCGAGTCATGGGTGTCTTCTAAAACAGAAAGCAAAGGCAAAGTTTCCTTTTATAAATTGTCACAATAGCAGTTTAGAAAAAAAAAAAATCCAGTAACATAAAAGGCAAATAAAAATAAACAGACTCCTAAAATTGACACATCTTTTAAGAACAATATGAATTTCCATCTTAAAAACTGACAACCAAAGAAAATATAAGAAAAGAACAATACAATTCCTATGTGGATTCCTTTATAACTTCATCTTTTAAGGCTAAAAAAAGCATAAGAGAAAAAGTTGAGGGGCGCCTGGGTGGCTCAGTCAGTTAAACTTCCGACTTTGGTTCAGGTCACAATTTCACAGTTCGTGAGTTCAAGGCCCATGTCAGGCTCTGTGCTGACAGCTCAGAGCCTGGAGCCTGCTTCGGATTCTATGTCTCCCTCTCTCTCTGCCCCTCCTCTGCTCACACTCTTTTTCTCTCTTTCTCTCAAAAATAAATGTTAAAAAAAATTAAAAAGGAAAAAAAAAGAAAAGGCTGAAATCTATTCCATGTCACTTAAATCTAGGTGCTAGGTCCACATCATTTAGCTAAAGTGCTTCTCTTTATAGTTCTGGTGGCTTTTTAGGATTGCAAAAAACAACACAAAACATTGTTATGGGAGGTCCAAATAAGTCTTTTCTAATATAAGTAGACTCATACTGAAACACGGTAACTTGAAAAGCAAGGGTTTGGATACAATCAGACACATTACTCAGAAATTACAGCACGTAATATATTAAATAATTGAATCAGATAAAAATTAGCCCATTTACTGAGATTTTTTTGTTTGTTTTGTTTTGTTTTTAACCAACTATAAGTATCTAGTTGTTTAAATAGCCATCTACATGAGTATTCCAAAACCAGGGCCTCTCATTTCTTTGATCTTTCCTTTTCCAAAGATCTTGTCCTTCATACAACACTTAACTGCAGACTTAACTAACAAGTCTTATGATCTTATTATAATAACTGTTCCCTTTCCATTAAGTGCAATTTTAAGCATTCCACTTTCCCCCTTCACTACTTTCTCTTATGAGCAAACTTCTTTTGGTATCCTAACTCCAGTGAATTTTTTAACTCCACAGGACCTCCACCAAGGACCTTCCTCTACATTGCCAATTCTAATGATCACTTCTCAGTGATCAAAAATCAACTCACTTGACCTTTCAGTTTATTTGATATAAACACTCTTTTCTATTAAAATATTTTCATCACTTGGCTTCCAGGACACCATTCTCTTTTGGTTCTCCTCACAGGCTATTCCTTAGGCTCCTGTTTTGAGTCTTCTTCATTTCATTAACCTTTCAACCCTGGAGTAAAGGACTCAGTCTTCCAATCTGTTTTCTATCTAAATTTACTCCAAGATGATCTCATCCTCAACTCTAAGCCAACAAATCCTAACCTCTGAATGCTAATTTATTTATCAAAAAGCATAGTTGGCATCAGTTTAATGTCTAAAATGATTCTCAAATTTAATTATCTCTCTTGATATCAAAACCCCAAACCTCCCCCAAGTAGTTTTAGCCATCTCAATTAATGGAAACTCCATTCACTTACTAAATCAAGTCAAACACTTTAGTCATCCTCTTCTCTGTCACAGCCCATAATCCATATAAGATCCTGTCAACTCTCCCTTCAAAATAAATGCAGAATCTGAAAACTCACCACCTCACTGCTATATTATGATCTACATAATCATCACCTCTTACCTAGATTAGTCACAGATATCTTGTATGGACTCTGTTTAGCCTACCCTGTACGTAAGAGCCAAAATGATCACGTTTAAAAAAAGAAAAAAAAAAAATCATGTATTTCTCTGCCCCAAACCCTCTAATTGGTTCCACCTCACTCAGGGTGAAAATCAAAGAACTCATACTGTCCTAGAGCCATATATAATCTCCCCACTTCATCTCACACCCTTCCCCAACCTCTGTAACTTCTACAAGTCTCTTAATCTAATCCAGCTCATTTGGCTCCTCTGTTGTTCCTTGGACATATCAAGCACACTCCAACTCCAGGCCTTTGCTGTATTCTCTTCTTAAAAAATGTTTTTCTCCAGATTTCTGCATAGTTTGATCTTTCTTCCTTTAAATTCTTGGTTCAAATGTCACCTTATGTGACAAGCCTTTCCCAACTACCCTATACAAAATACCAACACTCTGCCACCTCCTCCCCATCACCACCTATCCCCCTTATTCTACTTAATCTTTCCCTATAGCACTAATTATCATCTCATATATGTACCTGCTATTGTGCCTAAATTTTGGAGAACTGGGTAGCTAGCCACATTGAACTCCCATCAAAATGGGAATATGTACATAAAACTTAATAAGAAAAATATACATTCTCCAAGATGTACAGAGTATTAATGCATTTTACATCTGTGTGAAAAATTCAATTAATCAGGCCTGCAAAGATTAGGTTACTTTTTTTGGACAGGAAATGTTTGTTATTGGAGAGAAAAACCATAGCCTAGCTTGTCTTGAAGTACTGAAATACTATCACAGCAACTTGCAGTGCAGGAAGCCAATCCTTTTGCACCAAACACACAGAAATATGGAGTAAAATATAATACCATAACCACTACTAAAAACTGTACAGCCAAGTTGAAGGCAAGATACAGAAATCTCCAGGTGCTATCAACACAGAAGAAACTCAAAGCCAGAGTAGTGAAAAACTAAAGCTACAGAGTCCAAAGAGCTATGAAAACCAGACACATGCATATAGCTGGAGTACTGACAATCAAGGCCTTTACAGTTAGGAAGGCGACTAAACTAAAATGAATAAAACCCACAGCAGTGAGGGACTGTCATATCTGTAAAACGCAACGGCTCAAACAGCCACCCATGAGGAATCATGCAGCATTGAGTGTGCTGCAGGAAAACATCAGAAAATTCTAAAAGGGTTTTTTTATTCTACCATCTTTAGGGCATTTCCCATATTAGCAGACCTGTGAAAAGGAAGAAAAAAAAAAGAATTTTCTCTGTTAAAGATAGACATTTTCTACTGTTTTTCTATAATGAAAATATATTATTTATGAAAATAGAAAAAAACGACAGGTTTTTCACACCCAAATATTTCACTATGCAAATCAGCTGAGTCAAGTAAGTGATAAAATAGACCTTGATGGGTGAGAGTCACAGAATGACTTAAGGCCAATGATACACTATAAGATGAAAAGCAGTGGCACGTATGATCACCAGTGAGTGTGTATGTATTGGTGTAAGAATGTGAGTGTGTTTTATTATCCCTAAGTATAGACAGTTGTCTTTAAAGTAGAACTGGAAATTTTAAGATTCACAAATATAACAGTATTAAGTGTCATGGACCTTTGAGAATAGCACACAAATAATTGAAACATCAACCATTAAAAACAAAAATGTCAAGAATATGCTGCACATAAACATCTATTCATCATAGCTAAGCTCATTATATAACTAAGAGTTAATACTTTGTAACAGGTAGGGATGAAATGTAAATCTTTAAATATACCTCTGAGAAACACTTCCTGAGTGTATCTGGGACTTTACCATCCACCACATGGAGCATTCTTTCCATTTCTTCCCGTACAACATAGCTCCCAGATTCACTTGCAAAAAGACTAAATATGTCTAGAAGAAAGAAAGAATAAATTAAACTTACCATAGATTAAATATACCCTGGCAGAAGTAGAGAGGGAAGAGAGAGGTAAATATTACTAAGTGATTACTAGTGCCAAGCACTTTATCAATATATCATTCAATTTATTCCTAAAAAAAAAAAAAAAAAAAAAAAAAAAAAAAAAAAAAAAGAAAACCAACAACGCAAATTAAAACAGCAATATGATATCTTTTCAAACACATCAAATTTGCAAAAATGTTTAGGTGTGACAATACAAAGTGATAGCAATAAATTGGGAGAAACAGGAACTACTGTACACTGTTAATGAGAGTATGAATTACTGCAACCACTTTAAAGAGTAACTTGCCAAAATCTGGCAAAAGTGATGTATGCTAGAAATTCAACTTCTTTTTTTTAATTTAAAATTTTTCTTAATTTGAAAAGAGAGTGTGTGCGAGTGGGGGAGAGGGACAGAAGGAGCAGGACAGAGAATCCCAAGCAGGCTCCACACTCAGCAAGGAGCCCGATACAGGCCTCGATCCAATGACCCTGGAATCATGACGTGAGCCGAAATCAAGAGTCATTCAATCAACTGAGCCACCCAAGCATCCCTAGAAATTCAACTTCTAAGCAGCTCGACTTCCACCCTCAAGAAACTTTCATACGTGTGCACAAGAACAACAATGTTCACTGGAATATTATGTGTAATAGCAAAACTCAGAGGAAAAAAGATAAATATCTATCAATAAGAAAATAGGTAAACTGACATACACACACACAATGGAATACTACATAGCAGTTAGAATATAGGAACTAAGTGCTTCAAGATGGATAAATATCAAAAACATTCAGGGAAGGGATACCTGGGTGGCTCAGTGAGTTAAGCATCTGACTCTTGATTTCAGCTCAGGTCATATCTCATGGTTCCTAAAATTAAACTCCATGTCGGTGCTCAATCCCTGCTTGGGATTCTCTCTCTCTCCCTCTCTCTCTGACGCTCACGCACTCTCTCTCAAAATAAATAAATAAACTTAAAAAAATATTCAGGGAAATATTTTTGGGATTGTAAAGCAAATTATAAAATAATCTGTATCATATACCATTTACTTAAAATGTTTAGGGGGACCTGGGTGGGTCAGTTGGTTAAGCATCTGACTTGTGCTCAGGTCATGATCTCACGGCTTGTGAGCCTGCTTGAGATTCTCTCTCTCTGCCCCTTCCCCACTTGTGTTCTCTCTCCCTCTCTCAGAAGAAATAAATAAACTTTAAAAAAAAGTTTAAGAAGTTTAAAATCTGGAAAACAACTGAAGATACGTTTAAAGGTATATAAAATATCATAAAGGTAGAAACACCTGCATGAGGAACAAAAGATCACTATATTCATGAGAGTGGTTACAGTTGTAAAGGGAAGAGTGGGAATAAGACCATGGAGAGATACAGAGAGACAGCCTCACTTTGGATGTAATACTTTATTTCCTAAAAAATAAGATCCAGCACAAATATGACACAATGTTAAGAAATAATAAAGCAGGTGGATGTACATATTGTATGTATGTTTGAAATACTGTTGTTATGGATTGAACTGCATCTCCCAAAAAGATATGTTGAAACGCTAACCTCCAGGAACTTATGAATGGAACCTTATTTGGAAAGATAGAAGATAGAAAGATTGGGGCGCCTGGGTGGCGCAGTCGGTTAAGCGTCCGACTTCAGCCAGGTCACGATCTCGCGGTCCGTGAGTTCGAGCCCTGCGTCGGGCTCTGGGCTGATGGCTCAGAGCCTGGAACCTGTTTCCGATTCTGTGTCTCCCTCTCTCTCTGCCCCTCCCCCGTTCAT